GACTCACTCGCGTGGTCTATTTCATCGTTCGAAGTGTTCAGACCACTTTTTCAACAATCGAGTCCAAAATGATAATTTGCCCATGACGCGACGTATAAAATTTGTCGACACTCGTGACATCCAAAAACTGATGCCAACAGCCCCTTCACTGTTTCCCTTGGTAAGCACATCTGTAAGCTGTAGATTTATGATGTACGCAAATCAAGCCACTGCTAGCTTTTCTTTAATGAAGTTGGTCACCAGAAAAAAACACCAAACCCTTTTTGAAATTAAGAGTTTGTTGTTCATGAGGTTGATTAGATTTTGCTAGCCATATTTTCTATAATATTTATATGGGCACAAGACTCATAATTAATTACCCATTTTGCTCAGGAGCACCACTCTAGATTTAGGATGGTTACTTAGACTTGATTTAGGCTCGAGTTTAATACTTGTGTATTAATTGAATTGGACTTGATTTAGGCTCGAGTTTAATACTTGTGTATTAATTGAATTGATGAGGGATGGTTGGTGGATGGAAGTAGACCTGATTAAGATCTTATGGTTGTCATGTTGGGAATACCATTGATCCTAGTCTATTAAAATTAGAGGATAACAAGCTGCATTGGCTAAGGAATCTAATTAGCAATTATAGGTTGTGTCTTTTTAAGTTATCCAAGTAGACCAAGATGAATGTATGTGGTCTTTTATTTATTTTTTTGGTTTTAATTTGTTGATGAGCTTGTTAGCATAGATCCTAGTCTATGCAGGGTTGAGTTACATCCATTAAAAGGCCCAAGCCTAATTGGGATGGAGTTTGCATCCATTGGAATACATGAGTTTAATTGGACAAGTTTATGTTTATCGTAGATCTCAATTTTTTGCTTTAAAATATGAGATTTACTGTTTTATTAGCATGTTGCCCAAAGGAATTGGGCTCATAACGTTAACCTTTGATAAGTTCAATTGGGGTACTTCCTGCTTAGATGTTAGAGCAAGCCCAAAAATAAGATGACTTAAGGTTAGGGTTTCCCAATGCAACTAATAAGATGAGTATTATGAATTCATGCAAACTGCTATGAGTCTTCACATATCATTACTTACTAATTATTTTATTAGTTTACTTTCTTTAAATATGAAGATGCTATATTTGAAGTAAAACTCAAATAATAATTAAATGATCACAACAACTTAAAAAATTCAATGAGAATTTTGAATAATTTAAAATCATAAAAAAATTGTAATTAGTTTCCAATAATTAAACTTTTGATGTGCTTAATTTGAACAAAATCAGATGTGTTAAGTTACCAATATCAAATTATGTAACTGAATAAAATAAGGAATGGAAGTACTAAACTAGGAAAAAATAGGCCTCATACCAGTGTAAAGAGATGGCTTTCTCGAGAATTAAGTTTTGCTGCACTTGTAAGAATTACATATCTAGCTTGCATTAATATAATTGAACATTGAAAATTTAAATTTTTTTCAAAGAATGGTTAAAAAAATTATATGCTACAGAACTTTTATTTTTAGGGTCATCCATCTCTTAGGTTTGTAGGTATGCTGAGTATAAAATCCTATAGAATGGAAATTTATTCTATAAAATAAAACCCAAATTCCTTGTCTAAAGAAGTTAGCCTATACCGAATTTGTGCGTGACATCTTTTCGATTTGTTTTCTCTGTTAACATTCTTTCTTTTGTATTTACAGTTTAGGTTCTGATTATTTGGTTGAGCCCATTGCTGCTGTTGAACTAAATGATGAATTACAGCAGGCACGAGCACTAGTAGCAAAGGTTGAAGAAGACGTGCTCACACAGTTAACCCAAAAGGTTTCATATATTTTTTTAGTTCTTAAGTGCTGATTTTGTTACAATTACTCCGTTTATTTGGTTTCATTTCATTGTAACAGATGCTGGCAGAACTTGGTAGCATACAAACTTTATTGGGAATCGTGATACAACTGGATGCTGTAGGTAGCTCTACATGTCTCCGATAAAATTAGATTGGGTAATATATATATATATAATATATATATATACATATATATATATATAGACGCTCCTAAAACCCTGTTGCTTGATTTGTTGGATCATCCTCCAATGTGTAGCACGCTAGTTATATTCTTTTTTTCCTTGAACTTTTTTGTTTGCTCAGTGTATTATGAATGACATATATCAACTACCACCATTTGGGGTACTTCTGTTGTATTGTATTTTCATTTTTTCTTAATTTGGGTGGTTGGAATCATGATTATCAAATTGTGAGGCAATTCTGGGCAAAGATCTTTAAAATTCTTTTAAAAGGCATTTAAGGAAAAAGAGAAACATAAGGGACCTTTTGCTTAACCCATATTAATTGTGGGGCAGCATGCTGCAATATAGTATGGACAACTTATTAGTTTATGCGAATTCTGTTTCTTATAGGTCAAGTGTAAAGAGTTGAGCCAAGCAACAAAATGGCTGTTCCAAACCAATTTAAGTATTTTTTTGATTTATTAATTTTTATGAATTTTCATTTAATTTATTTTTAAATTTTCTTGAATGTATGAGGATAAGAAATATGTCCTTAGATAAAATTTAATTTTTTTTTAAAATAAGATCTTTTCTACGGGCTTTCAAAATAAATTTTGGATAATTAAAACAATGAAAAAAATTTCTAGCTTTTTCTCGATTTCCTAGCATTCTTGTCTTAAAAAGTTAACAAATTTCTATTCATTGATCTTATTCTCTTTCTTTTTCCTACTATTTTCACAATTCCCTTGCACACCTTGCATCAATTTGATCTTATAGATAATTTCTGCTAATTTGGCATTAATTTTATCAATTTTTGAGTTTTTCTTCTTCTCCTCTTTTTCTTTCCCCCTATGTTCTCTCCCTATTAAGGCCTTCCTCTTATCTAACGCGTCATAGTCATTCCCAACTTCCTCCCTATCTTGGAAAGCTGAATCCTATTAGTTGGAAACCACTAATCAGTATTCAAATCAATTCCAAATCTCACAAAGCTCTTAAGCTGTGCTTCCATTCAACTGCTGTTTATCGCTTCTCATGTTTATTATTCTCCGCCAACTCGTGCTGCATTTTTTCGCTTCAGCTTGTGTGTATCATCCATCACTAAACTCTCCTACAAACCTCATTGCTTTACACCAATCCTAGATGTAACTGTTCTTAGATTGGAAGTGAAACTATTTAATATTTTTTTTAGTTCTTTCCTATAGTTTTCTGCATCTTAAGTTCTATGCTTGAAAATCTCTTGTTTAAGGGCGCTAATTGCACTCCAGATCGGTGCTTTGAATTTTAGTTTATAGAAGGGGTGATAGATGGGGATCAGTGGCCAAGCTTATAAGCATTCTATAGATCTATTATCTCAAGTCTAGCAACAACAAATGATTTGTAGGACATAAGTCATTGTTTAAAGAGTAATTAGCAGCCATTTGTTTACTCATATTAGATATTTTTTAGTAGGCATAGGTGATGATTATGCCTAAGGGCGCTTACCTCCTTATGATGCAATCCAATGATCCAAATTTAAATAAAAATATCTCAAATACTATTGTTAATAATAGTTCAAAGATACTTTTCCATCATTGTTTGAGTTTTAATACATTAGGTTTTGACATATTCATCATTAGGTTTGACATATTTATAACATCAATGGCTTAGAGGCGTGATAAAAAATAATTCAGGTGTTGTCGTATATCTGTCTTTCTTTTCTGGTGGTGTCACTTGGCCAATTTAACAGTTCTCTTCAGAAAGAGGTACTCTAAGGAATAATAGTGGATTTGATCGGGCGCTTTGAGACATTCTTTAAGATCATAGTCCATTTCAAAATTATAATTCAAAGCTATATTTGCTACTCCATCTTTTGCTAAGTTGATATTTTAATTGCCTAATAGAGTACATTTTGTTGTATCCAAGAATTGCCTAGAGTAGGAAACCCGACACAAGGTTGAGTTCTTGATCAGAGTCTAAAACTTAGCAAGCTATATGAGCCAATATATATCTCCTAGCCCAAAAAATTAACATTCTAATACTTGCTAATGCATGATGCATTTTCATTGGCTTGGTAAGTCCAAGGGGCAAGCGATGATTCTCCTCAGCTCACAAAACATTGGTAGAACTGACAATGTGGATTTAACAAATTCCTCTAGCATAATTCACATATTCACATTCCACTATCTCAATAAGGCTAATAGTCCGAACTTGAATATAATGCCCTAGTTTAGCGAGCCTAAAAGGCTGGTTGGTTAAACTTTTATCTTTAAGATCGAAGGCTTGAACTTTTTTGCTAATGCAACGGGCTTTAAAATCCAAGTCAACTTACCAATCGTATGCTTAAAAGATTGAAGAACTGAACTCGAATAACAAATATTGATTCAACAACACTTGATGAATTTTAATTAAAAAAGATAAATGTGATGAATAATGACCATATTCTGCATTTTGGGAAATTTTTTCTCCTCATGGGGACCCCTTTAGATTTCAAGTGTGAGTGTAGAAATTTGTTAGGAGAGATGTGAATAAATTGTGGAAACTGATTCGAGAGATCTGAAGCAAAACTTAGAAGGAAAACACACAAAATAAGAAAACACAAAGAACATAGGATCAAACATGAAGAAACTTGAAAAGTGAGAAAACACCACTGAGCCACACCACACCAAGAAATTCACTATGAAAAAAATGAGAAGAATTGCACAAATTACACTACACTCAAGCCTCTCCACAATTTATTACACTTTAGGATGCTTCTTCTCTTCTTTGCATAAGAGAAGACTTGAAATCCAACAACTTCTTGTTCGGTAAAATCAAAATTTTAAGTAAAACGGCGCTGGGGTGCCGCAATGGTGGCCTTGCGACGCTACAAAGTGGCGCAACGATGCTTCATCCGAGCGCTGTAGTGTTGTGCTCTTATGTTTTGAACTGGGTTGGGCGCCGTTGTGTTGTCTTTCGAGCATTAGGTTGTTGATTAGTGCTAGGTGTATAGAAAAAAATTCTAGGGACAACGCTGTCAAACCCAAAACAAAATGCACCACCCCACACAAAGAACATAGGATTAAACATGAAGAAACTTGAAAATGAGAAAACACCACTGAGCCACACCACACCAAGAAATTCACTATAAAAAAATGAGAAGAATTGTACAGATTACACCATACTCGAGCCTCTCCACACTTTATTACACTTTAGGATGCTTTTTCTCTCCTTTGCATAAGAGAAAACTCGAAATCCAACTACTTCTTGTTTGGTAAAATCAAAATTTTAAGTGAAACGGCCCAAAGTTGTTTGCTGGTGCCGGGTGCCGCAATGGTGGCCTTGCGACGCTACAAAGTGGCGCAACGATGCTGCATCCGAGCGCTGTAGTGTTGTGCTCTTATGTTCTGAACTGGGTTGGGCGTCGTTGTATTGTCTTCCGAGCATTAGGGTGCTGATTAGTTCTATGTGTACAGAAAAAAATTCTATGGACAATTGAGGGCTTTGATTGAACAATTGATTAACGCAATCTGGCACCTCATAATAACAAAAATGGCGTATTATATCTGAATACATGTTGAAATGGTAGGTTTTGAGGTAAGGTTTAGTTCGGACCTGCCTAGTCAAGATGACTCAGATAATATTAGGCGCCAAAGGAGAAGAAGGGGCTACAGAGGATAAGGAATCGAGCGTGCCATCAACATAAGCAAGGGGACAAAGGGAGGGGGTTTGGTTTGAGGGTTCTCTGTATAGCTGATTTTAGTTGTGATATTTGATTGCTACAAATAAAATTTCAAGCACAACAAAAAAAGAAAGAAATCTTCTCGCTGGTTTTCTGTGGTTCAATTTTTTTTTGATGATTTATTTGAGTTTACAGTTCTTGCATTGTTTTTTGGTTTCATCTTTCATGTATTTTTGAGTTTGCACCTAAAGAACATTTTTTTTTTTAATCTAATTTTGTGGTCTGAAATTCTCAAGTCTTTGCACGATATACATGAATTGCATTAAGAGCTTTAAACCATAAGATACCTTACAAAAACGAGTAATAACCATAAGATGCCTTGCATCACAGTAATGGTGATATTTTATTTTTGGTTTAGATAGTATTCTAGAGAACATAATAAAGGCGAGATGGAATACAATGACATTTTTAGAGGGCCTTAAAATATGATAGACTGAAATGTTGTCTTTTCAGATTAATTTAATTTTTGTATGGTTTTTTTTTTGCAGGTTGCTGCCCGAGCAAAGTATAGCATTGAATATGGTGCAAGTTATCCGAACATTTTTTTGCCATGTGAGATGATCACTTCAGTTACTGTTGACGATGGTTTCCGCCATAATGGAACATCCAGGAAGAGTTCTTCCCATCATCAAAGGGATTGGAAGTTGTACTTGCGAAAAGCTCATCATCCTTTATTAGTCAAGCAGTATCGCCAAAAATTAGAGACTGCCAAGAAAACTCTCTCCAATGCTGCTTCTGTGAGTGTATAACTGGAACTTGGAAGTTTGATTAGCATTGCTTTCTTATTTTAAGCTTCTTTGCATAAATCTCCAATGCAAAAGAGATATATAATTTTTAGTATTTAATAGAATTATATGAACTTGGAAACACAATCGGTTGGACTTTAATGCATTGACTTCTTTGTTTGCTTGTCAGGAACTCATTTATTTCATTTCAATTTTGCTTTTAGGATGTTCGGAGGAAAAAAATGCAAGGAAAAAGCATGACAACAGATGATAGTGACTCACTTCTTGACTCTATGAAGCTAAGTGTATCTACTAAACTTTGGCTACAAATTTCTTTTATCTGAGCAACAACTAGAAAAAAGATAAATCCCATCTTCATTTTGTTTTTACTAATTTACTAATTTTTTGCTCAGTCTTTTTGCTCAGTCTTTTTTTTTTTTTTCAGATTTTGCAAATGGAAAGATGTCCACCGGTTCCTGTGGATTTTGTGATTTCTGCAAAAGCTACAGTTCTAGTTATAACGGGACCAAATACTGGGGGGAAAACTGTTAGTTTAAAGACTATCGGACTAGCTTCTCTGATGTCCAAGGCTGGTTAGTTATTGGAGCACTCTCTATCTCTTTCTTCTGCGAACTAATTTCCAGCACATTCTGCTTGTATTCAATGGTTCTTACAAACTTGTGCAATTGTGTGAAATTAACATAAACTTAGATACCACCAATTACTTGGTTGAGTGATATCCTCTCTCTCTCTCTCTCTCTCTCTCTATGTATATAT